GTAACCACATAAATCTTGCACGAAAAACAATCACGAAAAGTCGAGGAAAAAATCTTCAAAAGTTGTGAAGATTTTGAATTTTGGGTGAGAGTTGCAAGAAATTCGAAAACAGGGTACAAACTGTCATTTTCGCAAATATTGCAGGGACTCGTTGCAAAAAATTAGCTTTAAATGCGAAATTTTACCCCAAATGCGAAAATGGGTATAAAGTGTCATTTCGCATAAGCTTCAGACACAGAATCTGAAAAATCTTCACACTTCACAGAAAATTACCCCCACATTGAAACTGGGTATAAACTGTCAAAATGTTGAAAATGCAGGGACTTGAATTAAAACATTGAATCTTCTTCCCCAATTCGTTCCAACGCGAACGAACAGCAACATCAGTCGAATTCAACACCAATCAAGTTTCCATACTAGTCGAACTCAACCTTGATTTTCGACCCAAGCAAAGCAATTTAGCTTTCGACTATTAAACCCAAAACACATTCGACTCGGACTTAACAACCAACACCGTCGAAATCGATTTCGACTCCAAGTAAGGTATTTTCGACTCCAATTAACACCAATCGAACACACTTTCGATTTCAATCATGTGAATTCGACCATAAACCCCAAAATACATTTAGGGGGGTGTTTGGTTTTCCTTTTAAAACAACTCTTGGACTTTTAACTTTTCCAAATTAAAAAGTTAAAAAAGTCCAAAAGAGATGTTTTGCAAAATAGAAAAGTTCTTTTAAATCAACTTCTAGCCATGACCAAAAAGGAGCCTTTTTAAAAGTCATAAAATCCCATCTGTTTGTGACTTTTGACTTTTATCTTTTAAAAGTCTTAAAAATCCACCCAAACACATTTTAAATACCTCCTTTTAGAAAAAGTTCTTTTAGAAAAAGTCCATTTTACAAAATGACATTTAACTTAAAAAAGGAATCCCAAACACGCCCTCACTATAACCTGTGAATATCCCAGTTGCAAAAATTCTTATTTCGATAGAAGCACTCGAAAGTCTCAATCACTGTAAAAGCGAAAAAGCCATCTTCTTCTTCCTAAATTCAAGTCAAAAACTCAATATCGACACCTCAATATCGAAAAGAAAACTTGTTTCCGAGTACCCATATTCAAAAATTACGACCAAGTTGCAAAAATGCACAATCTACTCGATACGAGCACAAAATCGAACAATATCAAACATCGCTTCTATCTGCTTCGATTTTCATTCCGATTTTCTCAATCAACAACAAACCAATGTCGAATTAAAAATTCTATCTACTTTGACTTCTTCAAACCAACGTCAATTTTGACTCGAAATTCTTTAAATCATTTAAAACAAAATCCAGTCTATCAACTCCAATTTCATTCCTATTCGACTTCAAGCATACACTTTCGATTATCAGCCTTCCCAATCGAGAATCAACCATTCAATCTACACTCAAACTTGACATCGATTCTCAACATTAATCAAGAGTAACGAAAGCCAATCAAACTCATATCACATTCGAATGTTCATCATCTACTTTTGATTCAACAAGATATATGATTGATAAAATCATATTGCTCAATATATGAGAGGATAAATTCAATCGATGGAAAAAAAATGTTATGACGAAGATAAATCAAGAACATATTAGGAAGTGTGAAGGAAATAATAACTGGAGCGAATACTAAAATCTATTTGATTTCACGGAGAGCAAAAAGATTCAAATGAATTTAAGAGTACGAAAACACGAATCAACTTGACGGAAGACTAAGAACAATCAATGCAAATGATTTGATCTTGGGCCGATGAATTGAGTAATGAGCAATAATGGAACAAATTTTATGGATTGGGATGAATTGATCGATGAACAGTAAGCAAACAAATTGTTTGGGCTCAAATTTAGATCAAAAGAATAGTAACTTGATTGATCAAATAGAATTTGGGATTATTCATCATTGGATCTTCAAAAACAATGAATCAACAAGAACTTTTTGGAATCCATTTCAAAATTTGTGATACCTTCTTGAAAATCCTTTTCCCATTTGCAATGCATAAATCATACATGGAAGATTTGGGTTCCTTGGTTGGAATTAAGAATTTCCAATTTGCACATTGTACCGCTCATGATGCACATTGTACCATACATGGAACTTCTTCTCATTTCTCCAAGATCTAACTTAATCTTCATAACGGATTTGAGAATCTTCAACAATTTTGGGTTTGCAATTCGATTCCATAACAGAATTTGATGATTTTTGCTTTGGAACCCAAGTTTTCTTCATTGATTTCGACTTCAAAACGACATTTGAAGAATTTTGTTTAGAAACCCAAATTTCTTGTTTTTGATCTTCTTCTTCTTCTTCTTCTTCTTCTTCTTGGATCTTGAAGATTTGAATTCAAGAAAAACATCATTATTGATAATTTCGAATTTGCAATTTTGAATCCAATCTTTTGGAGTTTGATACATTTGAACTTCTTGGATTGAAGGCTTTCTATATGGCACCATTCCTTTAAATGAATCACAAGAATACAAACAATCATTGGTTTGAACTCCAACTGAACAAAAAACTTTCACAACTTCATGAAAATCACATTGAATTCCCTTGTCTCTAACATCATGAACATCCAGGTAAAATGCAAGAACATTGACACCATATTTTCATTCATCAATACGAATTCCATTAATATTTCATTTTCTTTCTTCTTCATTTTTCTCTCATGATAAGTTGTAACCAAACGATTAAGAAACACTTTATGATTATCATGATCAAGAGGATAACCAATCATCTTTCCACATTCATCTATTTTTCCACAAGAAATGAGTGAATTTTGTTTGAAATACCCGGTTGTAAAGTTTTTGACAAGTCCTTCAAAACTATATGGATATGGATCATCTTCAAGAAATACAAACCATCTTTTACAAGATTCTTTTTCCATTTCGAATAAAAAACGAAAAGATCACAAGAATTTAAATTTTTCTAGAAAGAGAAAGTGATTTTGATATGAATTCTATAGAGAGAGAAAACAAAAATCACATGAATTCTAGAGAGGGAAAATCGAATTTGAATCAAGATCAAAGAACAATTTGATTTCTAGAACCAAAAATACTCTCAAACACGAAGAACTTACAACAATTGATGATTCACCAAATCATTTTGTCATCATGGATCAATTTCTTGAAAACTTCAAGAGCACCGTCTCTGATACCAATTGTAATGACCCGGTTATGATGACGAATGTGGAAATGTAAAGATTAAGTGAATCAATCAATCACGAAGAACACAAATAGTAAATAATTCGTTTAAGCTCTCATTAATCTAGTAAGCTATTACAGAGTGGGTATGTAATAATTCTCTCACTAGACTAATCTCACAAATAGTTCTTACATAAAATGCGAGTCACTCACTTCCTAATTATAGGAAAGGCTAAACCCATTACACATCCAAAGAGGGTAAGCCACATCCAAGGAGAACTTTGCACCTTAACAAACCATAAAGTTGGAAACTTTATGGGTTGTAAGGGTTCTTAGAGTGTCATAGAGTTTAGATCTAGTGAATGGTTAGGTTTTGAATCTTTGCATGTCGCGATTTTCCTTTTTCCAATCGAGTATAGGCAGCAGGTAATTGTAATTTTGTAGTCCTCCTTCTTGCCTTATCTCAATCTTCGATTTTGCCCTAATGTTGTTATTAGATGATGATTATACAAGGAGCAACAACATACCACACAAACAAAGGTTTGTAAATCAATTAATTGAACTCATAGTATTCCCCCATTTCATTTTACAAAAAAAAAGAATCCTATTTAGATTGAATCAAAATCACAACTTATTTTTCTTCCGACACTTATATTTTTTGTCAATCTTACTATAGATTATTCATCATATTAAATTGACATTTGATATGTAAGATATCTAATTAATAATTTAACTAATTTATCTTCTTTTAAGCTTCCATTAATAATTCTCTTTTTATGGGCATTGATAATCGTGTCCGCCCGTGTTTGTTTAAACTTTCAAGTGAAAATTGGAGCTACTCAAAGGTTTTCTTTTGATTGCTATGGTTAAGCCCTCAGAATTCAGAGTTATTGTTGATGTTAGTTTCTGGTTGCCCTTGTTGCTTTGTTTTTGGGCAATTGTTTGTTGTCGTTAACACCGAAGCTGATCGTGAGAAAGACTGCTAGAGATATAATCGTGTTATGAATTCTTGCCATTTTAGAAGGCAAAGGGCAATAAGGTCCATCTAGTTTTTAATATAGTTTTAATGATTTAAAAATATTAAAAAAAGGATTATTAAATGTTTAAAACTATTTAAAAAATAACTTTGACAAATCCGATATTTAATATTAATGACAAATACTAAGTTTGATATTTAGACATTTAGTAAGGATATGTACCAAAACTGTTTGATTGAAGTTCATTTTCCCTCTTTCATTGTAGGTTTTTCACTTTCTCTCATATGGCAGCATATTCCACTGTCATCTAGGTCGTTTGTTTTACGTTCTATACTACTTTTTAGTTTTATTAGATCGAAATTTCATTCTACTTTCATCTTGTTGATTGAGTGTCACGTTCTTATTAGTTTACTGTTGGCATAATTAGTTTAGAAACCTAAACGTACGTTTAGGGTTTTAGCATGTTCTGTAACAGTAATGGTTGGAGCAAGCTCATGCAAATTAAGGTTTCTAAGAGTTGAATTTAAGTTTAATGAAAAAAAAAAACAGATTTTACCTTTGGGGTTCGGTGTTCTGTGAAGTTTGACCATCTAGCATTTATATTCTGCATCCTGCAATTCTTTACTCCTATCGAGTTGATTATAAACGAATAAAAGCTAGCCAAGATTCGTAATGTTTTCATTATGATGTGTTTTTAAGTACAACATATAAGTAAATAGGCGTTTTCACATTGTTCTTCAATACAAAATTCTTATTTCTAAGAGCTCGAAACTTACATACCTTACCCAAATGCACAAAAATCAATCGGGAAGGGTGTTAAAAAGATATATGGAATTCTGTATATAATCAATATCTATTCATCAAACCTCCTAGACGATGTTCGATTGAGTATATTTCTGAGGCTATTCTTGCTCTCTTTCTTTCTCTTACTAGATTGACCTTGAGTTTGACCTTTACTTGATTCATCAAACTCGTTTTCCAATAATAGCCCGCTCTCGAGCCGCCTTGAAACCGCCACAATCTCGTAAGAATCCCATAGTGATTGTGTGAAATCCCAACTTGTTGAGATACTGTTACTGGCATTGTTACTGTTGTTCCATGATGATGGTTTTTCAAGCTTAAAGCGGGTGGGTTTGATCTTGAAACTCAGGCGACGGGTATCGAATTCATTGGTGGAGGAGGGTGGTGAGGTGGTGGTGGTGTGGCCGAGCCATGCCTGTGCCACAGCCTTGATGATTTCGAGTTCATGTTGTTCAATGTTTTCTTTCATGGTGTTTTGGAGGAGGTCATGTGTATGGGGGCCATGGTTAGGACTTAGGACAAATGTATTCCTATCTTTTACAGGCAAAATCAGAGCCTCACATGCCACGATTGAATTGAACAAGTAGATAAATGGGAACAAGTTAATGTGACATCACATAAATGGGGCTATCCAACCTTACTTCTCACATATTTAAAGTTCATGAGTTTTGTTAGGTTCTTTTTTTCTTTTCTTTTTTGTCGTCTTAATTATAAAGAACATCAAGAGAGTTTATCAAACTGTGCGATTGTGTTTATTTTTATTAAAATTTGATTTATAAAATGACAAAAATAATATCGGTTTGTTTTATTTTATAGTTATTATGATGTAAATATGCAAAATACATTTTTAATGTCATTTTTTAGTGTATAAACGTAAAGAAAAACAAAATTTAGTGTATGGTCTTACAAGAAACAATGTTCTCTTTTTCTGAATTCACAATTTATACAATAGTGATCGGATTAAATCAATAAATTATAAACTCTAGTGAATATAAAGAGCAAGGTGTCTATATTTTGTAGAAATATATTAGTCCAAAAGCACCCACATGCTTCAACCTCAAAATTGTGTGTTGTTCTGAAAAAAATGGATAATACAACAAACTAGGTAATCAAACAGACCCAAAAAGACTAGAAATTCCTTTGTTTTTGCGAATATGAGGTGGACACTTGAAAAGCAAATCTTTAGCCTCCAATTCTCTACCTTCATCAACAAAACCCTGAAACACATTCAGATAAGACGAAACTGAAGGACTTTCTTTATAACTCAACGCCTTCAAAAACTCTAAAGCATCATCAATCGTCCCAAATTTGGAAACAAACCCCACAAAAGGCTCTGAAACCGGTGGATAGTCGTGTTTCTTCATCAGCCTTAGGAGCTTCAATGACTCCTCAAATTTCCTCTCCAACAACAGTTTTCTAATCAAATTCTTGTAAGTCGCCTGCCATGGTTTCACCCCACCTGTCTCAGTCATTTCAACAAGCACCTGGTGTGCGTCTATGGCCTTGTTTTGACTCAAGAACCCGTTTACTAAAACATCCAAAAGATCCGCATCAGCCTCGCAGCCTTTCTCGATCATGTTGGCGAAAATGATCAGAGCTTTGTCGACTTCATTGGCTGAACAGTGTCCCTTGATTAGAATCGTCCATGTCTTGATGTCAGGAGTGCAACCATTTGCTTGCATTTCATCGAGCACCTTGGTTGCATCTTCTAGTCTTCGAGCTTTACATAGACCAAAGATCAATTGGCTGTAGGTTATGTTATCGGGTTCGTATCCTGCATCTTTCATGGCTGTCATCATCTTCTCGGCTTCATCAAATTGACCTACACTTGTTAATGATCTATGAATACCATCATAAACGCTTTTTGAAAGAGAATTTCCTGTGGCTTCAAATTTATTTACTACCCGAAAAACAAGATCCAAATTTGGTGAAATGTTGCCTGCAATGGTTCTTAGAAGAACACTACAATGTTGAATTGAGGGCTTGTAAGGGCTGTCCATCATATGCTCGTAAAGCTCTACTGCTTCTTTTAACATCTTACGTTTTTGAAAGAATCTTGAGATTTTTAGATAAGTATCAAGATCCATTTCATGGCCTGCGTTCTTCATTTCCTTAAAGATGTTCCAAAATTCTTTTATTGAATCTTCTTGACAAAGAACACGTAAAACCCCGTTATAAGTGATGGTATTTTGTTCATAATTGAAAGTCTCACTAACCCATCTGAAAAACTTGATTGCTTTCAAAGGATACTTTCGCAGATTCTTTAATACTCTAAGAACGAAATTATCTGATACCTTGAAGTCGAATTTGATCCCTGCTAATCTCTTCTCAACCCCATTTCCCCAATCTGATTCGATCACAACACCAACGATTTCCTTAATAACGTCATTCATGACATTATCTTTCGCCATTGAGTTATAAATTTTGGTCAAATTTGCAGCCTCATTGATCATATTCGAGTTCTTAAAATCCTGAAGAATCATTAAATACGCTTGATCGTCAATGAAGAAACCTTCTTCTTTCATCTTTTGAGCAGTGGCCCAAAACCGCTTTATCGATTCTTTATTCCCATAAACCCGAAGCATTATGCTATAAATGGAAGAACTGGGTTGAAACCCTTGTTTTCCAACGATCCAATTAAAGAAATCGGAAGCCTTCTGGGGCTCTTTCGAGAGTTTCTTTAGAACATACATGACGGATTCATGGGTGAAATCGGTTTTTGACTTTGATAATTCTTGTTCTAACTCATCAGACCACTTTTCAGATAAAATAATATTGAGCGTTTGTTCTGGCTTCGAAGAAAAGAAGAGTTTTGCATGGAAATTGAGAAATGGGGAAACGTAATTAGGGACATGTAAATCAACAAACCGAGTTCGAACCTTATTATTAGGGTGGGTTCTGGCGAGCTGAGTCGAGTAGAGCGAGTTGGCTAGCCTGATTGTACTGAGTAATCTCTTTGTTTGATTCATCGTTGCTGGCCTATCAAAGCTGTGTGTGTAGTATTTGCAGGCAGAAGATGAACAATGGGGGCAAAGGGTTAACGAGGGTTTTGAGATGACCGACGGAAAATGGGTCAAGTCGGACTCGGGTATAGGCACCACAAACTACTAGATCAAAATAGTTTCTTTAGCAAATTTGGATTTGATATAAAATTTAATTTAGGGATAAGTATAAAAATAACTACATGATTGTTAAGAATATAAATAAGAAAAATAACTAGATGATTGTTAAGAATATATATAAAAGATATTGATTAAATTAATCACAAATCAAAATAAATTTAATGAAAAGTAATATCTTTTTAAATAAATTGACAAAATAATCAATATGTCCGAGACATACAGGACTCAAATCCGACCCAGCCAGCACGGCCGTTCTAAACATATTTTGGGTCCAGGATGAAAGAGGAAAAAAAGTCTCTTAAAATACACAAATTTCATTAATTTTTTTATAACAACTCAATAAATGAAAGAAAATTATGTATACTAGCTTCTAAATATACTATTTTGGATTACAAAAATCTATATATTTAGAGAAAAATACTTCTTCTACCTTTTTGAAATACAAAATTATTAATGATATTTTCAAAATCTATCTTATCTAACATATCATTAATAAAGTTCATAAAATGTTTGGACCCCTTTAAAAGATGGGTCTTGGACGGTTGCCCCTATTGCCGACCTTTGGGACGGGCCTGTCAGCCAGTTCCGAAAGGTTTTCGTACTTAGTTGAGTATACATTGAAAGCAATTCCATAATTCACATCTAGACACACCCTATTTCAAACTTATTTGGCAAAGTAATATGACCTTGACAATTTTGAGATTTTACTAGTTAGTTCGTGATTATGTGTTTTTATGGAATATTACATGAAGTTTGAAATGTGAAGACATGTCTGGAAATATGCGAAGAACGTGCCCGAAACGGATTGTTACTTCATATCCAAAGCCTAAAAAAACTCCTTATTTGTCATTATTAACCTTTGACAACTGAGAAAAAACTACTATAGAATTTTTTTTTCTTGCCTTTAAACTATTCCGAAATGAACCGTCGCATTCCGAGTGAAGAACTTTGAATACGAAGAACAATTTGGAATGTGAACAACATTTCAGTCTGGAATGCATACAACAATCCAAAATGTTGTTCTAGACTCTTTTGGTTTGAACCAAAGTTTTGTAGTTAAAAACTGCAAACTGCAACACATAAGACAGATTAATAAACTTATACTTTGCAAACTGTTGAGTGAGTTGCTTTTGACCTCGTCTGTATACCATGATTGACCACTTGTTTTGATCGATTTCTTGCTTTTTAGGTACCCCATTGCTTCAATGAGAAAAGTATAAAAACCATTCAGAATCTTCCATCTTCGTGTGTACTTCTCAAATGAGTATTTCAGTATCAGAATCTTTTGTTCTAGAGCCTTCTTCTAGATCCATCATCTTTCAAATTTCACAGAACCAAGAAGAAAATCATTTTCAATTGTTTCAAACTAAAGGGTTGTTTCTTTTTTGATATTCCTATCAGCTTCCATAAGGGTAAAGTAAGTAGTTGAATTCGTAATGATGTTGTCTGATAAAGTGTTGGGTAAATTACACCAATCGTCCCTCGTGCATATGTCAGAAAATATGTTTAGTCCATATTTTCAAAAATTAACTCAAACCGTCTCTTATGTCGTTAAAAGTTGCACGCTTTGTCCCTCGTTAGTTTATTTTTGCACGTTTTATCTCTTATGAGACATGAAAGGACTATGATGCCCTTTTTATTTTATTTTTTCATTTATTTTTATCAATTTTGATTATTTTTATGTATTAAATGTTGGGTTTTGAGCACTATAACACTCCTATGGTGCACATGCAACCCTAAATGATTTGGATCTATGTTTTCTCTACTATACATGGATATTTTCAATTTTTCCAAAGCATTGTCCTAACTAGCATACAAATTGGCAATTGAATAAAACATCTAGATAGATGACATACCTTTTGAAGGACTTGTAGTTCTTGACCCTTGAAAGCTTGAGCACCTCAAGTGTGATGCCTCTAATGGTTCACAAACACCAATATGCAAGGGGATGATTTAAGAGAATAATCTATTTATCTCAAAGAGAAGAGGCAAGCGATTTTGGTCTACAGAGGGTTATATTTATAGTGTTGGACATGCTAGGGTTACACTTGGTAAACCCTAATAACCCATGACTTTCCACATTCTCATGCTCCATGGGGTTTAACCTCCATGGATTAGTTTAGCCCATAATCATGGATCATTAGCCCACACTACAAGAATGATTGATTTACATAATCAATCCACATATATTTAATTAGTCTCTTTTGATCACAAAATTAATAAATTAATTCTTGATCAATACTAATTAATAAACCATAAATAACCTTATTCTCAAAATCCATCCTATCAAATTGCACTGGTGAAGACAACCCAAAAGGACCATGCTACAATCGGGTCAAGTACATACCAGTTATAGTTATGGGCTTAGACACCAAATCCAACAGTCTCCCACTTGGATAAGTCTAATAACTATTACTGCTAATGTACTTCAAGATCTGACTTAGCAATCGTAAGCTTTCAAAAGCCGTTGTCGAACTCTGACCTAGTCAGTGATGCGTCCTTCAGATAAGTGATCATATACTCCTCTGTTCTCAAGATATAAGCTAGACAAATACATGGAACAATGTCATACTTATTGTCCAGCAGTTTGTTTCCCGATTTCTGATTAGTCTGACATAGAACATAACTGAACACATCAATTTAGTTCTGACCGGGCCCGACACATAAGTCAAAACAAAATCATCGAGGGGCCCAAGATATCGCTTTTAATCCTCTTAGGATAAAAGGAACAGATAAACTTCGACATTATATGCTTGTACTAACTACTCATCAAATCATGCACAACGACATGTTTTATAACATCAAGTTACTGATGCGTTTTTATGCCATCAATGCACAACCAACTCGTAGTCAACAACTCATATATCTTGGTTTGAAGATTATATGATATTATCGTCTCACAATTACTCGTGATAAATTCCATGAAGTAATTCTGGTGAGCGCGGGTTGAATCCAATACTCAAATCTTATTTCAGAAAGTACTCATGAATGGTGTAGCAAACTGTTGCTATGCCTAACTCCTTAGACAATCTACAAGCCAACGCATGACAGTCTTCTTTCATACTTACCTCCAACGTATGATCGACTGTGGATAGTTTGAATAATAATAATAATAATCATAATTTTATTATTCTGGAAGTCAAAACATGCAAAGTGAAACAATAGTAAATAATTGGCACAAGACAGTAACTTTTACTTATAAATAAAACTCATTTTATTCAATCATCAAATGTCAATTACAATTTAGCTATTACAAGTTTCGATTTATCTAATTACTAAAACTAATATCGTCCTTTAGCCCAATGCTCCTCGCATGCTGCAAGTGCTTAACCATAGTCAGTCATTTTATAAGAGGATCTGCTGGGTTGTCCTCTGACGATATCCCCTTTACCACGAGGTGCCCTTCTTCTACCTAATGTCTTATGAAGTGGTATTTTCTGTCGATATGCCTAGATCTACCATGATCTCTCGGTTCCTTGGTTAAGGCAACTACACCTTCATTATCGCAGAAAATCTCCATAGGCTCCTTTATGGATGGAATGACTCCAAGGTCTCCAATGAAGTTTTTCAACCATATTTCTCCTCCTTCGATGCTTCTCTTGCTGCTATGTACTCCGATTCGCACGTTGAATCAGCTACAGTCTCCTGCTTGGAAATTTTCCATGTCACTGCTCCTCCATTCAGGGTAAACACCCAGCCCGACTGAGAGCGGAAATTATCTCTGTCGGTCTGAAAGCTTGCGTCGCTATACCCTGTCACTCTCAAGTCATCACTCCCACCAAGGGTAAGGATCCAATCCTTAGTCCTCCGCAGGTACTTAAGAATGTTCTTAACTGCAGTCCAATGAGCTTTACCAGGATTCCCTTGATATCTGCTGACCATGCTCAAAGCAAAGGCCACATCAGGGCGAGTACAAGTCATAGCATACATGATCGAACCAACTGCGGAAGCATATGGTATATGACTCATTTCTGCTATCTCAGCCTTTGTACTTGGACTCTGAGTCTTACTTAGTTTGACATTGCCTTGGATAGGTAAATCTCCTTTCTTGGAGTTCTCCATGCTGAAACGTTTCAACACCTTGTCCAAGTAGATACTTTGACTAAGTCCTATTAGCCTTTTACTCCTGTCTCTCAATATCCTTATCCCTAGGATATAAGCAGCTTCTCCGAGATCCTTCATAGCGAAACACTTCCCAAGCCAGGACTTAACCTCCTGCAAGGTTGGGATGTCGTTTCCTATGAGTAGTATGTCATATACAACACCAGAAAGCTCACTATACTCCCACTAGCTTTGACATATACACATGACTCATCCTCGCTTCTCAAAAATCCAAACTCTTTGACTTTCTCATCAAAACAAAGATTCCATCTACGAGATGCTTGTTTCAATCCATAAATGGATTTCTCAAGCTTACACACTCTATTAGGGTACTTTGCATCGACAAAACCCTCTGGCTGACTCATGTAAACATCTTCATCCAACTTTCCATTAAGGAAAGTGGTTTTGACATCCATTTGCCATATTTCATAATCATGAAATGCAGCTATGGCCAACATAACCCTTATAGATTTAATCTTCGCTACTGGTGAAAAGGTCTCATCATAGTCAACTCCCAGATTTTAAGTAAATCCCTTCACAACTAGTCGCGTTTTATATGTGTGTACTTTCCCATCCATGTCGGTCTTCTTCTTGAAGATCCATTTGCATCCGACTGAATTACGACCCGGTACATTGTCAACCAAGTTCCAAACTTGATTGTCATACATGGACTGAATCTCGCTGTCCATAGCCTCTTTCCATTTTGCAGACTCGGGGCCTGCCATGGCTTCCTTGTAGTTGTTAGGTTCATCCAAATTTACCAGTGTGCTATCACTGATAAATGTATCACCTTCAGTAGTAATATGGAAACCATAAAACTCAGGTGTATTTCTAAATTTACTGGAACGCCTCAGAGGTAAGGACTCGTCAATTGGATCAGCCGAAGTTTCCTCCTTAGGTTGATTGCTAGTGTTTGAGGTTCCTTCACCACTTGACTCTTGAAGCTCTTCAAGGTCAATTTTCCTCCCACTGTTTCCTTGGCCTATGAGTTCTCTCTCGCGAAAACTCCTCTCCTCGCAACGAAGACAACATTGTCACTCGGTCTGTAGAAGAGATATCCAAAGGATTTCTATGGGTAGCCGATGAAAATACATCGCTCACTTCGAGGTTCGAGCTTGTCGTGAGTTTCCTTTCTCACAAAAGCCTCGCAACCCCAAACTTTGATGTGGTCTAAAGTGGGGACTTTCCATGTCCACATCTCGTGAGGTGTTTTGAAAAACCTTTTTGGTAGGGACTAGATTAAGGATATGGACGACAGTCTCTAAGGCATACCCCCAGAATGAGATAGGTAATGAAGCTCGACTCATCATGGAACGAACCATGTCTAGCAAGGTTCTATTCGCCTCTCAGCCACACCATTAAGCTGTGGTGTCCTAGGTGGCGTCAATTGTGAAACAATTCCACATTCCTTAAGATAGTCAAGGAACTCGATACTAAGATACTCTCCTCCACGATCGGATCGCAGCATATTTATCTTTCTGCCCAATTGATTCTCTACTTCTTGCTTAAACTCTTTGAACCTTTCAAAGGTTTCTGACTTATGATTGATTAAGTAATTATACCCATATCTACTATAATCATCAGTAAAAGTCACATAGAAGCGGTTCGCATCCCTTGTGGCGGTTCTAAATGGTCCACACACATTAGTGTGTATGAGATCCAACAGACCTTCACCCCTTTCACAAGTACCAGTGAAGGGTGACTTGGTCATCTTTCCAAGTAAACAAGATTCGCAAGTGTCATCCGACTTTAAGTCGAATGACTCCAAAACTCCATCCTTTTGGAGTTGGGCTATGCGCTTCTTGTTGACATGTCCAAGACGACAATGCCACAAGCATGCTTTGTCCAATTCAATGGAAGAATCAATATTCAACACATTATTTCCTAAGTTATCTACAATCATCACAGTTTCATATATACCATTGCTAGGTAATGCTTCAAAATAAGATACACCATTACAATAAGCATAAATACCACCATTTTCATTATTAAAAGAAAAGGTAAAACCTTGTTTATACAAACTGTGAAAGGAAATAACATTTCTCGCCATATCGGCCGAGTAACAACAATTATTCAAATCTAAACTTAAACCATTACTAAGCAATAAAGAATAAACTCCAATCTTGGTCACAGACGACACTTTCCTATTTCCCATGATTAAGTTTATCTTCCCGTGCTCCACATCCCTACTTCTTTTTAGTCCCTGCAAATCAGAAAAAAATGTGAATACCACAACCTGTATCAAGGACCCAAGAATTAGCATGTGATGAATTCTTAGATTGAATAGTGTAAATACCTGCAAATGAGGGTTTGATCTTCCCATCCTTAATGTCTTGCAAGTACTTGGGGCAGCGTCGTTTCCAGTGCCCTTTATCATGACAGTAGAAGCACTCTGCTTCCTTCGGATTGGAAGAGGGATTAACAGAACCAACTTTGGTCCCACTTGAAGAGGATCCATCAAGAAACTTTCCCTTGCGGCTCTTGTAGGGAGCCTTCCTCTTCTTTCCCTTCCCATGTCTGATTGCCAGAACATGGGCAGAAGTAGCAGTAGTAGGAGTAGACACAACCGTTTTGCCTTTCAGGTTGCTTTCTGCAGTCCTAAGAAGGCCTTGAAGCTTGCTAAGAGTGACCTCCTCCTTGTTCATATGATAAGTCATACGAAACTGATCATAACAAGAAGGTAAAGAGTGTAGAATGATATCTATGGCCAACTCTTCATCAAAATTGACATTCAATTTTAGTAAGCGGTCCACGAATCTCTGCATTTTCTGCAAGTGGGCCGTGATGGGTTCACCATCCTTCATTTTGGTTGTGATCATGGAGGCAATGATCTCATACCTCTCCTGCCGAGCACTTTGATGGTATCTTTCCATCAAATCATGATACATTTCATAAGGATAGTAGTCCTCATAGGACTTCTGTAGCTCAACAATCATGGTTGCAATCATTAGACACGACACCTTTATCGCATCCCTCTCATGAGTAGTGTGTTCAACGATTTGTTCAGGAGTAGCAGTGGTGACATCAATCTCCTTAAGCTCTTTATCAAGGACATATTCTTTGTCCTCATAGTGAATAGCCATCCTGATGTTTCGAATCCAGTCATTGAAATTCGATCCATCGAAAATGCCCCTCCCACACAGATTCATTAGGGAGAAAGAGCCTGAATGAATTGGGTTTGAAGCATTGTTTGGGATAGACATATGTAAAAGAAGAAGAACAAAGTTTAGATTAGATGATAATCCTTAATATTACACCCAATATGAAATATTAAGGCTAGGACCCAACACAATATTCTACAATTGCGAAGAGGGATGCCGTAATCCAATTGTAAAATATTTGAAGGTAGGTAAATGACGATTCACCAATTTCCACCATGAAAAACGAAATAGATTATTAAGTTTTAACTATATTTGAAATTCCTAGATCTTTGAGATTCATTTAACTTTTCAATGGCATGTTTAAATCTCTATTATGACCTTCAAGTTTGTGACTGGGATGCCGAGGATCACAAACAAGGAGTGAATAACCATGCAAATTAGCTTGGTACACCCAATGTTACAAATCACCTAATCAATGTGCCGGTTAACCACACACGCTCCATTGATCTATGATTAACACCAAGTTACCCTTTGCCACACATTGTCAGTCCCAGATTAGTGTGTCGGTTAACCACACACGCTCCACTAACGACTTAACAAGGTGCAAAGTGTTATGGATTAGCACCATTTCACATTTTCCTAAAGTAACTAAGATTGGGAATTTTAATAAAAGTTTAGTTACTTTATATTTTTATCATTATACTTTTAATGAGGGAGAATTAATGTCCTATCCTACCCGTTCGGCTAACGACCCTCCACCAGTCAAGGAAGCAGTGGGTGAGAGTGGACACCCATTAAACTACCATTTTATAGGCAGTAACCTTATACCCCCCTTATAGACCGGCTTCGTGAATGAGTCCTACTAACAGTAAGACCGACTTTATCTTATACATACATATATATATATATATATATATATATTATTGAACTTATAATATTATAAAGTATAAGGGTTGATTTTTAACTTTTAAACTCTAGGGTTTGGAATTAAAGTTTCATTTAATGAGACTTTGCAAATTCCAAATCTTGAGGGCAAGCTTTGAAACTTGTCAAAAATCTTCACATTCATAACCTCTGAGTTTTATTTGATTTTAATGAAGAGACCTTTCATTTTCCATAACTTGAGGACAAGTTATGGAGGTCATTAAACATCATTTAGATAATTTTTTCTAACAACTAAAGTATCACATAATTCTTGATCTAACTAAACTCATATGCAAGACAATTTCAAATGAACAATTTAAAAGCAATTTTGTTTATCATATAAAAACAACAATTATTTTAAAACTTTGACAATTATCTTGTGTTTGGATGAGTACAAGCACTACCATATCATAAAAAACATTTCCAATGATCCAAAACAGTTTGTGGTGGTGTTCCAAATCCAAACCAGGCCAAGAAACTCGAATTTCTGCACACATAGCCTTCAACTCGTCGAGTACATGAACTGGACTCGGCGAGTTGTTCTGTTACTTAGTGGACTTGTCGAGTCTGTTCATGTACTCGGCGAGTTCACCAGTCAGAGGCAAAAAATTCGACTTTTTCAGCTTTGAAAAACTAGTAAGCATCAAATATAATGGAAAACAATCCTAGCCTCTGATACCACTGTTGGTTTTTGAGCACTATAACACTCCTATGGTGCACATGCAACCCTAAATGATTTGGATCTATGTTTTCTCTACTATACATGGATATTTTCAATTTTTCCAAAGCATTGTCCTAACTAACATACAAATTGGCAATTGAATAAAACATCTAGATAGATGACATACATTTTGAAGGACTTTTAGTTCTTGACCCTTGAAAGCTTGAGCACCTCAAGTGTGATGCCTCTAATGGTTCACAAACACCAATATGCAAGAGGATGATTTAAGAGAATAATCTATTTATCTCAATGAGAAGAGGCAACCGATTTTGGTCTATAGAGGGTTCTATTTATAGTGTTGGACATGCTAGGGTTACACTTGGTAAACCCTAATAACCCATGACTTTCCACATTCTCATGCTCCATGGGTTTAACCTCCATGGACTATCCATGGATTAGTTTAGCCCATAATCATGGATCATTAGCTCACACTACAAGAATGATTGATTTACATAATCAATCCACATATATTTAATTAGTCTCTTTTGATCACAAACTTAATAAATTAATTCTTGATCAATACTAATTAAATAATTCCGTATTAATATATTATACTTGTAATATATTAATAAACCATAAATAACCTTATTCTCAAAATCCATCCTATCAAATTGCACTGGTGAAGGCAACCCAAAAGGATCATGCTACAATCGGGTCAAGTACATACCAGTTATAGTTATGGGCTTAGACACCAAATCCAACATTAAAAACTATTAAAATTATTTTTCTATGTTGTTGAAGAATAGTTGACCACCACAACCATCGGTAATGCACACCACCACCACCACCGGTAATCTATACCGTCACCGGAAAAATTAAGCACCACTGCCACCCCTCAACTCACCCCACCCACTACCCGGTTCAAAGCTCATATTTTCCACTGAAAATACCACCAACCACCACCTCAATAAATATTTCATTCGCTTTTTGTAAAACTCTGACGACCTCCACAACATCAACAAAAGTCTGTTGAATGTGCTAGGTTCTGTTTTCTTATACTTCAAGGAAAGCTTTCAAAATCTCCGAACAATTAGTTTATTTCACTTATGAATTTAAAATGAATCTTTGTTTCTAGAACAAAGGACTAGCATTTTTACCATACAAGAAGTTAGATTTGACTTTTGGTTTTGGATATGCAGAGGTAATGATGATCTTATCAAAGAAAATGATCCAAACAAACTTAATTTTAGATAACAGTTAGTTGTAACAAATTCCAAAAAGGTTTTAAACAAGAAAAGGAAGTATGCACAGTTTCATTTGTATTTAGGTCAATCTGATTTTCTGTTACATACTTGTAAAACCTGTGGATTCAAGTTTTCTCCTGGAGACAAAGAAGATACAAGAGTTCACAAAGAGTTTCACAAAAGATACACTCATGGTATTCAATTCAAGGTAATGTTTACTTTTCCAATATCCTTCATTGTTAGTTTCTCATATTTTTCTTCTTCTCATTCATTGATTTTATTTATACTTAAGGGTTGGCGTAATGAAAGAGTTATAGATACACACTCATTAGAACACGGACGTGGACGTGTTATTTTGGTACTTAATGATGATCCTCCTGCTCATATTAAAAAGGTACAATAATCAATAATTAATATTAAGAATATAATTACTTAATATAAATTACTAAACTTGTAATTGCAGGCTGAGGAGGTTATAAAGATGAGGGAGATGGAGCTTGGTGATGGATGGATCTTCCATAAACACTGTAAGGTGACCATTTTTCCCAAATCCCTTTCCCTTAATATTTCTTGATTTTTTGTCCCATTTTCTAACTAATATTTCAATTTTCGTTCATGTATAGGTTTATCTTTATATCTCCTCCCAACGGGTTGCTGGATGTCTAGTTGCAAAGTCAATAAACAAAGCATATCCTTTAGTTTCAAACCCAGATGTCACCACTGATGGGTGTTAAGCATTACAACATTCACATGTGCACATGCAACCCTAATTTCTTTGGATCTAGGTTTTTCTCAAGCTATACATGCAAATAAGATTTCCAAAGCACTAACCCTAATCTAGCATACAGTTTTCGAAATCAATGAATCAACTAGGGTTAGAAGAATACCTTTCTTGTTAGCTTGTAGTAACAAGTAATCCTAGCTTGATCTTGACCTTCAAGAGCTTAGTGCCCCAAGCGTTGCACCTCTAATGGAGTCACAAACACCACTTAGCAAAGGATGAAGGAGAGAGGTGATGGAGGCTCTACAAAATTCGGATAGGGTTCTTCTTAGAATGCATTTGCTGAAAACTGTAAGCCAAGGGTCCTTTATATAGCTGAGGCTGCTAGGCTTTCCAGGTGAAACCCTAATCTGATTTCTTAAGCCTTAAGCAGTCCATGGATCCCTTCTAGAAAGCCTATGGACGAAATCTCTATGGGCTTCCCATAGATTTCGTCTATTCCTTCTTTTAGGAGTCCATCAGCCCAACTTGCTACTATCAATGATTTGCAATATCAGTCCCCTTACTTTTAATCAGTTCCTTCAATCCAAAATTAATTCCAAATTAATTTTGGATTAATACTAATTAAATAATATGATTTCCCAATTAATATATTATTCTTATAATATATTAATAAATCATTTATCAACCTCTTTCTCCATAATTCATCCTGTCCTGTTGCTATGGTGAAGGCAACCCAAAAGGACCATGCTACTATCGGATCAAGTACATACCAATTATAGTTATGGGATTAGACACCTAATCCAACAGTCTCCTACTTGGTTAAGTCTAATAACTATAACTGCAAGTATGACTTCAAAATCCGATTAGCAATCGTAGCTCTCAAAAGCCGCTGTCGAACTCTGACCTAGTCAATGACGCATCCTTTAGATAAGGGATCATACAATCCTCCGTTCTGCAAGATATCGTGCAGACAAAGACATGGAACATAATCATTCTCAATGTCCAACAGTTTGTTTCCCGACTTCTGATTTGTTTGACATAGAACTTAATTGAACACATCAATTCAGTCCTGACCGGGCCCGACACATAAGTCAACACAAAATCATCGAGAGGCCCAAGATATCGCTTTTAACCTCTTAGGATAAAAGGAACAGATAAACTTTGACTTATATGCTTGTACTATTTACTCATCAAATCATACACAACAACATGTTTTATAACATCAACTTACTGATGCGTTTACGCATTATCAATGTACAACCAACTTGTAACCAACAACTCATATATCTCGGTTTAAAGATAATACGATATTATCGTTTCGCAATCACTCGTGATAAATTCCATGAAGTGATTCATATGAGCGTGGGTTTAATCCAATACTCAAATCTTATTTCAGAAGTACTCATGAACGTTGCAACAAACCTTTGCTATGTCTAATCACTTAGACAATCTACAAACCAATTCATGACAGTCTAACCTCATAACTTACTTCCAAAGTATGATCGACTGTTGATAATTTGAACAATCCAATTATTCAGGAAGTAAAACATGCAAAAGTGAAACAATATTAAACAATTGACACAAGATAGTAAACAATACTTATATATAAATATCCATTATATAATCACCAAATGTCAATTACATTTAACTATTACAAGTTTCTAAACATCTATTTAATCACTAAAACTAATATCGTCCTTCAGACCAACGCTCCTCGCATGTTGTAAGTGCTTAACCCTGCTCAGACCCTTTGTAAGGGGATCTGTCGCATTCTCCTCTGACGATACCCTCTTGACTACGAGGAGTCCCTCTTCTACCCGATGTCTGATGAAGTGGTATTTTCTGTCAATGTGTCTGGATCTACCATGATCCATTGTTTCCTTGGTTAAGGCAACCGCTCCTTCGTTATCACCGAAAATCTACATAGGCTCCTTTATGGCTGGTACAACTCCAAGGTCTCCAATGAAGTTCTTCAACCATATTGCCTCCTTCGACGCTTCGCTCGCTGCTATGTACTCTAATTCGCACGTTGAATCAGCCACAGTCTCCTGCTTGAAACTTTTCTAAGTAACTACTCCTCCATTTAGGGTAAATACCCAGCCCGACTGAGAGTGGAAGTTATCTCTGTCGGTCTGAAAGCTGGCGTCACTATACCCTGTCACTCTCAAGTCATCACTCCCACCAAGTGTAAGGACCCAGTCCTTAGTCCTTCGCAGGTATTTAAGAATGTTCTTAACTGCTGTCCAGTTAGCTCTACTCTGGTTCCCTTGATATTGGCTAACCATGCTCAATGCAAAAGCCACATCAGGGCGAGTACATGTCATAACGTACATGATCGAGCCAACGGCGGAAGCATATGGAATTCGACTCATTTCCGCTATCTCGGCATTGGTACTCGGACTCTGAGTCTTACTAAGCTTGGTATTGCTCTGGATTGGCAACTCCCTTTTCTTAGAATTCTCCATGCTAAAAAGTTTCAGCACCTTGTCCAAGTAAGTACTTTGACTAAGTCCTATTAGTATTCTACTCCTATTTCTCAAAATCCTTATCCCCATAATGTAAGCAGCTTCCCCTAGATCCTTCATAGCAAAATACTTCCCAAGCTAGGTCTTAACCTCCTGCAAAGTTGGGACGTCGTTTCCTATAAGTAGTATGTCGTCGACATACAATACTAGAAAGCTAACTGTACTCCCACTAGCTTTGACATACACACAAGACTCATCTTCGCTTCTCGAAAATCCAAACTCTTTGACCTTCTCATCGAAACAGAGATTCCATCTGCGAGACGCTTGCTTTAATCCATAAATGGATTTATCAAGCTTGTACACTCTATTTGGGTACTTTGCATCTACAAAACCCTCTGGCTGACACATGTAAACATCTTCAGCCAGTTTCTCATTAAGGAAAGCAGTTTTCATGTTCATCTGCCATATTTCATAATCATGAAACGCAACTATGGCTAGCATAACCCTTATCGATTTGATCTTGGCCACTGGTGAGAAGGTCTCATCATAGTCAAACCCTGGGGTTTGAGTAAAGCCCTTCGCAACCAGTCGTGCTTTGAACGTGTGTACTTTCCCATCCATGTCTATCTTCTTCTTGAAGATCCACTTGCACCCGACCGTCTTACGACCTGGTACATTGTCAACCAAGTTCCAAACTTGATTGTCATACATGGACTGAATCTTGCTGTCTATTGCCTCCTTCCACTTTGCAGACTTTGGGCCCGGCATGGCTTCCTTGTAGTTGTTAGGTTCGTCCAAATTTATCAGTGTACTATCACTGATAAATGTATCACCTTCAGCAGTTATATGGAAACCATACAACACAGGTGGAACACTAACTCTACTGGAACATCTCAGAGGTAAGGACTCGTCAACTGGTTCAACAGGAATCTCTTCCTCAGGTTGAGCGCTAGTGTTAGAGGTTCCTTCATCGCTTGGCTCTTTAAGCTCTTCAAGATCAATTTGCCTCCCACTGTCCTCTTGGCATATGAGTTCTCTCTCGCGGAAAACCCCTATCCTTGCTACGAAGACCACGTTGTCACTAGGTCTGTAGAAAAGATATCCAAAAGATTTATGTGGGTAGCCGATGAAAATACACCGCTCACTACGAGGTTCAAGCTTTTCGTGAGTCTCTCATCTTACGAAAGCCTCGCAACCCCAAACCTTGATATGTGCCAACGAGGGAACCTTCCCTGTCCACATCTCGTGAGGTGTTTTGGCAACCTTCTTATTTGGGACTAGATTAAGGATATTGGCGGCAGTCTCTAAGGCATACCCCCAGAATGAGATAGGTAATGAAGCTCGACTCATCATGGAACAAACCATGTCTAACAAGGTTCGATTGCGCCTCTCAGCCACACCATTGAGCTGCGGTGTCCTAGGTGGCGTCAATTGTGAAACAATTCCACATTCCTTAAGATAGTCGTGGAACTCGATACTAAGATACTCACCACCCATATCGGATCTGAGCATCTTTATCTTCCTACCCAATTTATTCTCCACTTCTTTCTTAAACTCTTTTAACTTTTCAAAGGTTTCCGACTTGTGCTTGATTAAATAGATATATCCATATCTGCTATAATCATCGGTAAAATTCATATAGAAGCGATTAGCATCCCTTGTGGTGGATCTGAAGGGTCCACAGACATATGTGTGTATGAGATCCAACAAACCCTTACCTCTTTCACAAGTACCAATGAAAGGTGATATAGTCATTTTTCCAAGTAAACAAGATTCGCACGTGTCATCCGACTTTAGGTCAAATGACTCCAAGACTCAATCCTTTTGGAGTTGGGCTATGCGCTTCTTGTTGACATGTCCAAGACGACAATGCCACAAGCATGCCTTATCTAAACCATTATATGAATCGATATGCAACACATTATTTCCTAAGTTATCTACAACCATCACAGTTTCATATACACCATTACAATCCAATGCTTCAAAATAAAAAGTACCATTATAGAAAGCATTAATAGAACCAACTTCATTATTAAATGAAAATCTAAAACCTTGTTTGTACAAACCATGAAATGAAATAATATTCCTTGTCATCTCTGACGAGTAGCAACAATTATTCAAGTCTAATCCTAACCCACTACTAAGTACTAAAGAGTAAATCCCGATCTTGGTGACAGGCGATGATTTCCTATTCCCCATTATCAGGTTCATCTTCCCATGCTCCACATCCCTACTTTTTCTTAGCCCCTGCAAATCAGAACAAATGTGAAAACCACATCCTGTATCAAGGACCCAAGAACTAGCGTGTGATGAGTTATTAGATTGAATAGTATAAATACCTGCAAAGGAGGGCTTTTCTTCCCATCCTTGATGTCCTGCAAGTACTTCAGGCAGCTTCGTTTCCAATGCCCCTTCTCGTGACGGTAGAAGCACGTTGCTTCTTTAGGATCGGATAAGGGAGTGACAGAACCGACTTTACTTTTGGATCCATTTGAAGAAGATCCATTATGAGACTTTCCCTTGTGGTTCTTAGAGGGAGCTTTCC